ATCAGACAAAATTGTTTGTCCTTTCGGGTAGTAGCTGCGTGAAATGACCTTCCTCCTACGTTTGTCCATGCTCCTTCTAGAACCTTGTTCAAAGCACTATTATGCACTTATTTATACGGGTCCTCACGCTGGCAGGCATACTGCTCCGCGATGAGAAAATAAAGAGCAGTGGGGCGCCCTTTTTTCACTTTTTCCTTTCACGTGAACGACAAACACTGAACGAGGGGTGCAAAACCGACCCGGGAAACTTGGGCAATAGCCGCGATCCTGTGTATCAATCCGTGAATCCGTGAATGATCAGTGGACCCACCACCTTTTAGCCCGGCTGTGTAGAAATGTGCAAGGGTTTGAGACACTTATCCTCTTTAAATAGCCAAATCAGACTCAGATTACGTATTTTTCCGTGCACCACCAATTCCGTCCATCAGACGAGCTTCAATGAAATATGTGACCCTAAATCTGTTCTTCAAACAATAGTTTGTGTCGTTGCACGTTAGCTCGTGACCTTGAGCCGTGGAAAAAATACAACTGGCTGTACGACCACTGTAGGAATTAGACAGTGAAGTTCATGGGGTTGGTGGGCTTTAAAACAACCTGGAGTTGATAAAGGTGTGCGGTAGTCTCAACTGACAACTGTATTATCATACTGCACAGGGTGATGGAACGCATTTTCATCGTGTCCCAATCGGAGCCAGACCGTCACCAACACTTTGTGTGAGGATTCGAGACCGTCTGGAGCTTCGTGCAGTGTGGACCATTAAATTCCCAATAAGGATGAAAGAAATGTACAATGGTTGGCTTTTCAGCTACACTTACAGATGAAATCTCCATCAAAAATCCAAAAATCCCCTAGCACCATCAACATTCCGAGTGAAATCGGGACACCAGTCTAATTTCTGCACTAGCCTGCGTTGAAGTACTTCACCGCTTAGTCCTAGAAAAGCTAACGACGTCCCGCACGCACATTCGAGTCTGTTTGCTTTTACCGAAGTCCTGTAGTCTTGGAGCTCCTACGCTAGAACACTACATGGATATCCACACACGATGGGCTGGCTCGCTCCTCCGAATGACGAAAATTGTGTCTACATATTTTCGGAGGGAGGAACTCAGCAAACGCCTTCGTCATACATGACGCAAATGCGCCAGTTGTTACGAGACTAGTCATCAAATGGACTTCGTTGGGTTATTTGCGGAATAGGGGGATTTTGTAGGTTTCGTTCCCTCCTTTCCCGTGAAGTTTATCGGATTCAGGGTTAGGTGGTGTAAATGAGTTAGACGTTCTGGGGTTTCCAGGCGATCTGGACGTTTGGATGCACGGTTGTTTGTCCAGAAATCAGGCTTGGTGATAAGGAGGCTCATGGCTGGTAGACGCTGAGGAAGCAGAAACTGCGCCTGCGGTTGACGTAACTGTATCGCGTAATCTTCAACACGCGAGGTTTTTTTGTTCCTTTCCGTATCCGGTACGCATTATCATCGGTAGTATAACACCACTGCCCAAACACTGATGCTTCACTACCGCATGACCAAAGTTCATTCGTTTGAAGGCCATGAGATGAAGAATACAGTGGTTGAGGACATTACTGTGTCAAGGCGTCAGCCGCTGATGCCAGTGGGTCTTCTGCTACATCCACTCACGGAACCGCGTCACGTCCCTCGTCGATAGTTCTGAGACCCGGCTTCAATTCAAGAAATCCATAAAATTGCACCGTTGTTGCCCGTTTTTATTTACTTGTTTGTGATTGTTCAAGTAGTGTCATTCATCCGCTAGTGCCACGAAACGCAGGCGAAGAAAAACTCTTCCTTCATGTTCTTCCAAAGAATACATGCCCTAGCCCGAAAATAAGTAGCTCAACACACGCATTTGCATACCAATATGGTTTTCATGAGTGACTCATCTGGAACCCAGCTGAGTCTCATGTTCGTGATGTTTGTAAGCACCATGAACAATACTAACGAGAGATTCAGCTGAGTTCTAGGTGAGTCCCCCTTCAACACCTTATTGGTGGGCAAATGAGCGCATTTCATTAATTTTCATGCAATTTGGCCGGATTGAAATTCGGGGGCCGCGTCCATGAAGCGCGAAGCCGGTTATGGGCTGTCGGAGAGCATTCAACAAACTGTGAGTAGTGCAGTACGTCTCACCTGAAGACATTTTGCGACGTCCATGATTTACATCTGTGTGCGGTGCTGCTGCCACATTGGTCTTACTCGGGTTAGCAAAACACCAAGTCAACCTCGCCAGGCACATATCACAGACTGTCATTCCTCATGTTTCATGGAGTGCTCAGATACGCATAAACTATAGAATATATACACTTATATTAGTACAAACGTTCACAGATAGTGTCCATAGTCTTTTTTGCTATGCAGCCCACATTGCTTAGAGCTGAAGGTAGAAACTCAATGACTGGCAACACATACTTTTGCCTTACTGCTCCGTCCGCACAGTAATATTCAGTCAAACTACGGTCCATTATGAATGATGTCGAAAGCCTTCTCCCGGTTTTTTCTGGTCTATCTGTTGTCCCCCTTCATATTAGTCGCCCCGGTCCCTATAATGGTATTCTATGATAGAGTTAAAAACTGCCGCCACCCACTGTGCGATCCACTACCTGATTGCCCCTATCAACCAAACCAGAAACTAGTCTGCTTTCTCATGAACTCACCGACTAACTTTTCACTCTGGCATAACTACGCCACTACTATAGACATGGCCTTACGCCCACCAATTGACGGACTCACATTGAAAAGAAAGAGAAGCCGCTCTTATCACTAATGGTCGCCCCTTGCCCCGCCATCTGAGTTTACTGCATACTCGTCAACGAGGAGCGCGCTTATAATGGTTTGTTCTGCGCTTCGTGTTATATTGGCCGGCGGAACAGTCATTTGCTGCTGTGTCAAGAAATTCCTATCCATTTTTATATAGGCCGTTCCAAGGACTTTCCGTCATCTCACTGGTTTTTTCTCTGATCAGACTCCAAGTTTTCTGATACCTCTCTATACTCTTCAGGCCCTACTGATCCTACCACATTCCATCAATTTCGGTAGCAACAGCTCTGCACCCTGCCTGACCACCGCTTCACGTGCAAATAGATCACCAAATGCATCCAAATCACCCGTGATTCAACATCAATTTGAATCTACCTGTGTCGGCCCTATTCATCAGCATCACCTCACACTTTTGACTGAATCCAGCAGTTAGTTGAGCCAGGTTGTGTCACGCCCAAAGTCCACAAATTTAAATCACCCTGTTGGCGTTTATCAGTACACGCGTACCTCAAAGTGTAGGACTACACCGGTCTCCTGGTACCTGCCAGTACCAAATGAGATCTAAAGTTCACACCGACTCAAGACATCTGGCCCAGGCTAGTGAAACCCACCCGGTTAATTTTAAACGGACCGACAGTGACGAGGGCAAAGAACGGTTTACGTTTGAGGTAAAAGCGAAAAGATGATGTAGGCCCAAAACATGAAGGCACGCTTTACACGATGAAAATAGAAAAGAATCAACACAATTTCCCAAAACCACCGCGGATTTCCCTTATCTCGCGACTCAGTTCACCGCAAGCAAGGGATAAAATAAACGGGAATGGTATTATCGCTCTATCCCTGGGCCCTTCTATCTCTTATGCAGACGTTCCCTTCCTGCGACTACATTTCCGATCTCTGAAGCGTAGCTGAATTGCGGAGAATGTCTAGCGCCTGCCACCGTGACTGTCATCGAGCCTGTCTTTACCGACCTGGTTGAATTTCCTTCCGCCGGTCTTACGCTTTTGTACCCAGCCAAATTATTCCTAGTTCTTCAAGCCTGGTCCCATCCCTGTCAGCACTATCCAATGCCTGGTGCTTTGTTTGATTGGATTTAGCTAATCTCAGCCAAACTGAAGCATAAGCTCCTAGCCGTTCTGAAACGTTCTGCATCCCCCCGAACACGCGCAGCACACACATCAAAAGGTAGATCTGACGATGCGCTATGAATGAAATACTTGTTTGGCCTCACAGCCCATTTATTCATACACACACATAACACGGGTGAGCCTCTAGTTGACAAGGCGGTTCACACTAATGCTTTGTCTTCGTTTAGCCATAG